GGCTGAGAAACACTGCCTCGGGGCCTATACCTTTCATGTCCCTGCATTGCTCTACCCGTCCTCTTTCTATTCATCGGTGTTCCAGAACTCCTTCCTACTGATCCAGTTGACTGTAAAGGTTACCTTACTCTGAATTTAAACACTCGTTCCTAAGAAACCACTCTCAGCTAAAAATGTTGTTGCCTTTGCTCTTCCAAAGTTTTATTTCTTCTTCTTAGTTCCTCTTTATCTCCTCATTGCTTGCGCAGAAGCTTCTATGAATCTCTGGGGAGGAAGGACATGTGGGGTAGATGGGTTTGCAGCTGGCTGGCAAGCACTGCCTCTTCCTTCCTGGAACCAAGCGCAAGTTATCAGGATGCATTTGAAATTGGTATACTTGGCACATGCATTCTAGTGAATTTCTTCACCACGCTCCAGCCAACCCTGCTCCCTTGTATAATCGGTTGCCACAACTGTAATACCAGATGCTGCCTTCTAACCTTGAAAAATTACTTGCTCTTAATTAATTATGAAACAGAAAACATACCATGCCTGGCTTGGTCGTATAAAGAGATCTTGTGTGTGTAGTTAATGATTTGAGGCTAATATCCTGAGGCAAAAGAGAGTGACCTCCAAGTAACCAATTGGTTGAGACGGGCATCTATGGAAAATAAATGGAATAGTGGAATGGATTTTTTTGTTCAGATTTTCCAGGTAAAAATAACACTTTGCATTGTAACTTAAGAGATGCAAAGTGATGAGTGATAATTTCTTTTTCACAGGCTGACCAATGTACAGGACTCCAAGGATTTTTGGTCTTTCACAGCTTTGGAGGAGGAACTGGCTCAGGATTTACTTCCTTGCTGATGGAACGTCTCTCTGTTGATTATGGCAAGAAATCCAAATTAGAATTTGCTATTTACCCAGCTCCGCAGGTCTCCACAGCTGTGGTGGAGCCTTACAACTCGATCCTCACCACACATACCACCCTTGAGCACTCAGATTGTGCTTTCATGGTGGACAACGAAGCCATCTATGATATCTGCCGAAGGAATCTGGACATTGAGCGGCCAACTTACACAAACCTCAACCGCCTTATCAGCCAGATTGTGTCCTCCATCACTGCCTCGCTGCGCTTTGATGGGGCTCTGAATGTAGACCTGACAGAGTTCCAGACCAATCTAGTGCCCTACCCTCGTATCCATTTCCCTCTGGCTACCTATGCTCCGGTCATCTCTGCGGAGAAGGCTTACCACGAGCAGCTTTCTGTGGCTGAGATCACCAATTCTTGCTTTGAGCCAGCTAACCAGATGGTGAAGTGTGATCCCCGCCATGGCAAGTACATGGCCTGCTGCCTTTTGTATCGAGGCGATGTGGTACCTAAGGATGTCAATGCTGCCATTGCTGCCATTAAGACCAAGCGCAGCATCCAGTTTGTAGACTGGTGTCCTACAGGCTTTAAAGTGGGCATCAACTACCAGCCTCCCACTGCAGTTCCCGGGGGAGACCTAGCCAAGGTTCAGCGGGCAGTGTGCATGCTGAGCAACACCACAGCCATTGCTGAGGCCTGGGCCCGCCTGGACCACAAGTTTGATCTAATGTATGCCAAGAGGGCCTTTGTGCACTGGTATGTCGGGGAAGGGATGGAAGAAGGGGAATTCTCTGAGGCTCGGGAAGACATGGCTGCCCTGGAGAAGGATTATGAGGAGGTGGGCATTGATTCATATGAAGATGAGGAGGAGGGAGAAGAATAGCTATAAATGCTCTACTTTGTCTGGACCTTCCTGTTCATTAAAGTATGCTTGATTTGAATCTAAACTACAGTGATGTGTTTGTCCCAGGCAGAATTCACACGAAGCAATTCTATCTAACGCAATTTTTGCTCAGCTGCCTAGCAGTTCTGGCTGCCTTACTTGACAAAGGAAATAGTTACATTTGTAAACTGAACAGCACATCTTTTTTGAAAAAAAAAAAAACATGTTTGCTGATCATTTTGGCAAAGTAATAAAACTTTAGGTTACAACAGACTGCACATTACCATGAAACGATTAGTCTGCCCTCTTCGATACCACTTTTGCTCCCACAAAAGCAAATTCATCTTTTGATACAAAACTTTGAATCAAAGAATGAGATTGTTTCAATTTTAAATAAGAATAAGTTGAGGAAACAATGAGCTTATTTCTGAACAATAAACGATTCGCCTATTTCCAGCTTGGGAAACTCCGTACTTCTACATGTATTTTGGGAATAAAAGTTGCCTTTTAAAACATGTTTCATGAGCTGCAGATGTCAGAATAGGACCATGATGGCGAACCTATGGCACACGTGCCAGAAGTGGCACACAGAGCCATTCCCCCCACCGCACGAGAGCTCACCCGGAAGAGCCCCACTGCGCATGCGCGCCCGCTTGCGCCTGACAGCTGATTGTCTGGTATCTGACGCGGGATGCGCAGGAGACACGTGCATATGCGGAAATGCACAATGCATACTGGGCTCGCACATGCAGATGGGGATCGCGCATGCACGCACGCACATGCATGGCGCATGATGGGGTAATTGCGGGTGCAGAGATGCATGGCAAGGGGATCACGTGTGCATGTGCAGTGGGTGGGGGGACCAGCATGCATTGCCTTCTGGGTGCTGGTACAAGTGCGTGTGAAATTATTGGCACGGAAGCCGAAAAAGGTTTGCCACCACTGGAATAGGATGTCAGGCTACAGTATTGCAAAAACTAACAAAGTAACATTTTAAATCCAAGACATTCCATTAGAAAGCAACCAGCCCAAGCCTATCATAGAAAATTATGTCTGAGCAGGTATCTGACTTTTGTTTTATTGAAACCCATGAAAGACCAAAAAAATCTTAGTGGGATTGTATTCAAGCGGAGATCTTGTTAGCTTTAACAGTGTAGTAGTAACTTACCACAGTAGCTAGGCTGAGGTGGAAAGGGTCCACTGCTACATCCAATTCAGAAAATACCTTGACTGATAGTGTGTCTCATACACAAAGGAGACAAATCTCTGTTCACTCCCCCCCCCCCCAATATCTAGGCTACCCTGAACAGTAGCATTTGACTTCAGCTGCCGCCATCGCTGCTGCTACTGAAAAAAGACCACCTCATTCTCCAAGGTGCAATTGCCCCGTGGCCCAGTGCTCCACAGGATCTGTCAGCCAGTCCTTGAGTATTTAAGATTTGTCCTGAAATGAATACAAACTCCCAGCTCCTTTGTAGTGCAATGATGGTTTATTTGTTAGATTAGCAAACAACAAATATTCTTCTCTGACAAGAAAGGCTAAAAGCCAGGCAAGGTTAGCGTTGGGTTTGAGTTTGCTTCCTTTCCTTTTATTACCATTATGTCATCATGAGATACACCACACCACACCACACCACACCCAGGCCTATACACAGTTCTAATTCTGGTCACGCCTAACCCATTATCCCTAAATGCTGTTAACCCTATAACATGTCTACATCGCTAACCTATTCTGACCCTCACTAACTGATCCCCACCTGGTGCCACCTTCACGTTTTAACCTATGGCTTAATTACCACCTATATGTGCCCCAACCCCCTCTAACAATATGCACCACATAAATACATGAAGAGAGTCATTTCCTGTCCCACAGTTGCTTCAGACTCCATCTTGCAGTTGCTTCAGAATCCATCCTTCAGCCCCGCAGTTCCTTCAGGATCCATCCTGCTGAGTCATTCCAAAGGCCAGCATGCAAGCGAAAATACAGATCTGACAGCAGCAGAGAGGTGACATGCTCTACGGCCAGCTGACTTGCTGCAAGGCATGTTCGGAGCTGATGGGCTCCATAGTGAACTCGGAGCCCAACAATCTGCTGTATATCATTTAACTTTAGATGGTGGTCTTTCTGTAGACAGCTCTCTGTGGCCTACCTACCCAAGGTTGTTTCAGGTTGCACAAGGCTCTTAAAGCAACAGGTGAACGCTCTTCTGCAGCCTCCAAAAACTGCACAAAGGAATTCCCCATTCTGCTGTGGTTTTCAGAGGTGGTGATGGCCCTCTTGTCGCTTCCAGTAGGTCTGAAGGACATACAAGAACACATCCCATCCTCAGCAGCCTCTGAAAACTGCAAAAAAGCATGTCCCTGCTCTTGCATGGTTTTTGGTAGACCTGGAGGCTGCATGGGAGTGCATCCCATTCTCACACACCCATTACAGGCTCTGAAAGTTGTGCAAGAACATGACATATTTTTGGGAATAGTTGTCGGATGTGGGTAAACTTTGGCATGTCGGCCAAAACATTGCATGTCAACTTCAGTTATGGTAGCTTTGCCATCCCCAAGTTATATTTTGTACATTCTTGTCTGCTACATTCTCTTCCCTCCATTTCTAACTGGATTATATCACAGAAATTTAATCCAGAAGGACTATCACCCTTAAAAAGTGATGGGTGTGCTAAGGATATATGTTTTATTCCTGAAACTGATATTAATGTCACTGATTTATTATTTTCTTTAAATAGAGTCAGACTCATCCTGCTATGCCACACAGCTTTAAAAAGCAACTGATACATGTTGCACATGCACTACATGTTTGTAGTGATGTGTATGAAAAAGAAAGCTTTTGAGCTTGGCATAAAACAGACAAATTGGCTACATTCCAATGAAATAACATTCAGAAATGGTATGAGTATCCTGGAACACAGTTTTTAAAAACTGCACTCTTGTCACAGGGAATAATGAGAACACAAGTTCTTTGCCCTTTCATTTTTCACTCTATAGCTAGAAAAAACAACAGTTCTTTGCTGGTGACTATCAGTGATCTGATTTGCAAAAATTGATTTTGGAAAAGGGAGTCATGTTTTAATTCTCATAAAAGAGAACAGAAACACAACTTGGGTCTTATTTTCCTTTGCAGCCCAAAAGTGTTGCAAAAAGTAACAGCATGATTCACTTCAATAATCCAGACTGAAACGTCTGTCTTCATAATGAACACAGTGCACACTTGTGCATTTGACCAGCAGCCAAGAGTACATAATAAACTAAAACCAATCGTCTTGGCATTTAGCATGCAGCCTGAAAACTCACACCTCGGTGAGGGCATACAATGTGCTCAACTAAAAGAAAAAAGCCATACAGTGCAGTATTTGCATTTTATAACATAGAACTAATTCCTGCAGTGTTATTGGCAACACTTGGTTAATATAGTGCGCACAGCACATATTTAAATACGTTCAAAGTCCTATCTGCAGAAGAATGCCACAACACAATGGTAAACAACCCAGCCTAGCAGCTCTGTTTATATCAGAGAGTAAGTAAAATTATGTTTTTGTTCAGATAGATATGCAACTAACGTTAGTCCATCAGGTGGAAAACTGATCATCCAGAATTGCCTCTCAATGCAGACAGGACATTTGATCTGATTCAGCAAAACTAATTCAGGTGCTGCAGCAACATGTATCTCTGAACCGTGTTTAAATTGCTCCTTGTTCCTCTCTTTATCCCATTCTCTGTCAATAGAAGCAAGGTCGTACAGTATTTGTTACTCTTATCAGCTATGCTGAGGGAAAGACCTTAAGCCAATTATAATGGATAAAACAAATCAATCACAGGACTTGAGTCTCCTAGGAAATCGTAACAATGGTGTACAGAATAATGTATATATTTTATAGTCCTTTCCTATAACACCACTGAATGCAAGGACTTGGATAACTTCTAAAGGTAATGCACTGTATATAATCCACAAATTTATCTCCTGTTAAAGGGTTTGAACCCCATAGAAAACGATCTGACATTAATCTGATGAGCCCCAATATGGATGAATTTGGTTATACATTGCCTCCTAGTGACATATTTACAATAATTGTAACATGCTTGAAATTGCTCCATTTTGTTTTGGCTAAAAAGAAAACCTGATGAGACAAAATGCTCAATTTAGGTATCTTGTTCCAAACTCATAATACTTAAAACACACATTTCAAGCTTGGAACTCCTGCACATACCTACTATTGTGGAAAAAATCAACTTTTCAGAGAGTTAAAATAAAATTTTGTACCCTATATGACTCTTGACCCTCAAAACAACTAACAATTAACGTAAATAATACAAAAAAATTCTCAATGTATATGTTAAGCAGTTCTTTGAGGCTTGGAAAAAAAGGAAAATCTACTGGAATAACCAAGAAGATGTAATTAAATACATAAGAAACATGAAGAGAAAATGTGTGATTGAGCAGTATATACAGTATGTGATAAATGAACAACACTATTGTTGGATCACATTTTTATCATCTTGGTGGTTTAAAAATGTCCAAGATGGTGCCTGCATTTTATTTAACACTTAGGCCCCGAGGGCATGCCTTTAACAAAACAATATCGGCATCAATCCACACTCACACATTCAGGTACAAATTTAAGAGCTTTTTTTTTTCCACCAAGAAAGGGAATTTTGGTCCCTTGGGGCAATTTCATGCTTTGTGGAAGCATTTGGTAAGGGCCAACAATCGGAACAGTCAAAGCCTGGTAAGATACAGGGAAAGGAGTGAGTCCCAAAGACCAGCATTGTCCTTAATGCAGTCCCCATTGTAAGACAGTTCCTCCAGGTACAAGACTGGCCTTCAGCATGACTTCTTGTCAAGTGTTTGCTCTGAACTTCATCTCTTGAGGTCCCACCTGGGCCAAAATGCCTCTAGCTGCTTCTGTTTTTAGCTGCATATTCTGTGGTCTCAGATGCGTGTGGCATCCTGTCCAGTGAGAGGTGGCTGTATCGCTTCAAGCTGACAGATTATGTCTGCAACAAATGGGCGCTCCTGAGGATTGACTACCATTGTGGAAGAGAGGAGGTGTTCCAAGGCTGGGGAGTACCTGAAATTTAGAACCCATTTAGATCAATCTATCCTTGGATTAAGAGCAGGCCCACAACCCCCTCCCCAACCTTCTAGGTAGCAAATGCTTACCTGGTATTTGGGGGCACCGTAAGGTGGTTCTGAACA